TAAGTTTGGCCATGTCATCCCATGTATTTAATCAACCCCAGTGGCTGGCTCCCTGTTGTCTCCAGGATAAGTATAAAACCCAGATGCCTCGCTTCTGAAGCCCTTCATAACTGGGCCCCTTCCTACCTTTCCTTCTTCTTATGCCTTACACCCACACATACTCACACACATACCCTTTGATCCAGCGGCACTAGCTTCCTTACTATTCCTCAAACTATGCATTTCAATTTTCCCTGGCTGTCCTCCATGCCTGGAATTCTCTCCCTCCTCTCCTGGCTCCCTTCAAGTCTCAGCTACAATTGCACTTAAAGGATGGGAGCAAAAAGCTCTGCAAAAAGCCTTTCCCAACCCCCCCCCAATGCTAGTGCCTTTGTTATTTTCAGTTTCTCCTATCTGTATCTTGTTTGTACATAGCTGTTTACATGTTAGACTATAAGCTTCATGAGAGCAGGAGCTATCCTTTGCCTTTCTTTGTATTCCATGCTTAAGAGAGTGCCTGGTACAGGGGAGATAGTTTAAAAATATGTATTTGTTGTAAAATTTTTAAAAGAAAATAAAATAAAATTTAATTTTAAAAAGTCCCATCTCTGACCCTTAGTAGCTGTATGATCCTGGGCAAGTCACCTTACTTTGACATGTCTCAACCACATAAGTTCCTAGGACTTTGTAAATAAGTCATTGAGAGATCATAGATGTTTTAGTCCAGGGAAGTCTCTTGTTGACAAAATCACAGAACTGTGAAGTATCATTATTAGGGACAAAGGAGAAATCTAGGCAAAGTGCTGTAAGAAATCTGAAGTCAAACAAACAAATTCTTTAGCAACCCACTTATTTCTAAGAATTGTAAAACATAGTGCTTTATGAGGTCAGAGAGGGAAGAAGGTTACCAAAAGGAAGTTCTATTCCTGCCACCACTAGACCTTCAAGCTGGATGGCACCACCAAGTAAGTGCCTCTTTCCACAATTGCTGTGATCCGTGGCTGGTAGGGAAGACAAGCAGCATGCAATGAAACATTCTATTGTATACACACACACACACACACACACACAATACCACTCTAGTACTCTAAGTGAATTCCCTTCTCACTTTCAGGAATCTCAAGGTCAAGAAAAAACTCACATTTTTACAGCATTTAGACAGTTTACAAAGTAGTCACTGAATCAAAAAAAAAAAAGTCTGGGGTCCCCTGTTTTTATAGGCTGTCTTCAAGACAATCATATATTCATCAAATCTCAGAGTGGAAGAACATTCAGTTTGTCTTCAAATCCTAGTTAGCAAATCCCCTTTTGCACTGGCATGAACACTTCCTCCAGGGATGAAGAACTCAATATACATAAACGTAACCTATTTTCTTGGTGCAGAGTTCTGATTATTAGGAAGTTACATCTTATATTGACTCAGTATCTACCTTCCTATAAATTCTACCCAACTCTCTGAGACCTAATCTCTGGAACCACAAAGAATATATCTAATTGCTCTTCCACATAACCCTTAAAATATTTGAAGATAGCTATGATGAGGGCTGACCCCATGATCTTACATGCACATACGCACATATCTTTGCCAGTTCCTTCAGCCTCATATGACCTAGTTCGGAGTCCATGTACTTATGCCAGTCACCCTCCTCAAGACATTCTCTCTTGATAAGTTCCCTTTTAAAAACTGATACCCAGAACTAGGTGCAATACTCCAGAAGGAGTCAAAGGCAAAATAGAATAGCACTTTGGTGTCATGGAAAGAGCAGGTATAGTGGCCTAAGAGATTTTTAAAAACCTGAGTTGTGGTCCTGGCTCTGCTACCTAACTAGCTACATGACCTTGGCAAGTGTTATCTCTGGGCCTTAGTATCCTCATCTTCAGTAAAATAAGAAGGTTATCCCTAATGTCCCCTAAGGTCCCTCTGAGGTCTGATGTTTCCACCTATGCCTTTATTCAGAAAGCTGTCCCACTGAACTACAAAATTTAATATGATTCAATTTAATGTTTTAAATAACCTATTTAGTCATTACAGTGATCTTCCTAAAGTTCAAATCTCATCATGTTATCCCCCCTACTCAGTGAACTTCAGTGGCTCCAACCTCCAGGAGCAAATACAAAATGCTCAGTTTGGCATTCAAAGCCCTTCATAACCCAACCCCCATCTACCTTTCCAGTCTTCTTACACTTCACTCCCTGACACGTACTCTTGGATCCAGGGACACTGGCCTCCTGATTACTCCAGCAACACACTATCTGGACTCTGGGCATTTTCTTCCTGAAACGTTCTCCCTTGTCCACACTGACTACTGACCTCCCTGCCTTCCTTTGGTCATAACTAAAATTTCACCTTCTACAGAAATTTCACCTTCCCCAGCCTCTCTTCATTCTAGTGCCTTCCTTCCATTAATTATTATTAATTATTTCCTATTTATTCCGTATGTAGCTTGGTTGCACTTTGTCTCCCCCCATCAGATTGTGAGCTCTTTCACTGCAGGGACTGTCATTTGCCTCTTTTTGCACTTAGCATAATGCCTGGCACACAGTAGGTATTTGATACATATTTACTGGTTGATTGATAATTAAATGTTTATTAGGTGTCAGGTACCGTACTAAACCTTGGGGGTGAAAGAAAGGTAAAAACATGGTCTCTGCCTTCAAGGAGCTCACATTCTAAAGGCTCTAAATTACAGGAAGTAATCTGCCCATGGGTCATGTAGCATCGTCCACTAAGCACATCAATGCCAGCATACAAACCCATGCATCCTGTCACTGAGTCCCTTTCTTCTAAATAGAGGAACTTCTCTTAGGTCTTAGAGAGTAAAAAAAAAAAACCAGAAATGAGCTCCTAACTTCGGTTCATTAATATCTAAAATACCTACAAATATGGATAAAAAGAAGAAGCTGTACTTCTATCACTTCCTAGGCCAAAGAGAGACCATCTCATCATCCTCATTCACTGGCAAAATACACACACACACTCTCACACAACTCTGGCATGCATGATGGTATGGAGACACCTGTTTCCTCAAACAGCTGCAAATCTAACAATGCTTAAAGACCGAACAAGTGTGCCCACAGTATTGAAACCAAAGAACTGAAAGACCAAATTCATCCAAGAAACCAGCTCAATGAGGTCTTGAAATGGATAAAGCCCAATGCATGTTGATTAACAATTTTCTAAAGAAAACCGAATTTCCCTTCTCCACTTCCTCAACCAAGCACAGAAGTTGGGGGGGGGGGAAGAAAATAACCCACTTTTGCCCAAATTATTCGACATTCTTCACGTGGGGAAAGGAGAATAGTCAGAAGGTTAGCCACCCTATGAACTGCCTTAAGTACTATGAAAATAGAGACCCAGGAGGGAGAAAACTTGTAGGGTATAAAGGTTTTCTTAAGGGGTTCATCAAACTAATCATCATTTGTTTGTCTAAAAAAAAAAAGACTGAAGATATAGAGATGCCTAGATCTTGTGATTATGTGCCCATTTCTAAATTGTTTTTCTTTTAAATTAGTTGCTTGGCAATAATTCAGCTCAACAATTCAATTCAAATTGGCAAGATGACAGGAACGAAAACCTTCACAAGAATGCATCCTACAGCTGCACAATTCAGTTCAGAAATGCAGCTACTTCTGAGGCCCAACACCTGTTCTTTCTGAGTTTCCTTCCTATCTAAGGCTACACAAAAGACTTCCACTCCAGATCTGCTTCCCCATCTGTAAATTGAGATGATTGGGCTACACAGCCTTTAAAAAATGCCTTCCATTTCTGACACTATATTAAAGGAGATGACGCATATTAACATATATCCGTATAAGCGGTTTTAAGCCATGATGCTCTTTATATATCTGAACTATTATGTTTTCAAGGTCTCTTCCAGCTCTGGTATTCTAAGATGGACTAAAGGTGGGGAACAAAGCGATATAACGCAAGATCCTAGTGTCCCACTTAATTTATGACTCATTCCCTAAAAAGACCCTGGTAGGAGCCGAGGTGTCCCGCCCCACCCCCGCCAAGTAATTGGGGGAGAAGCAGAGAGTCCAGAGGCTGGAAAGGCGGCTCCTAGCCTTTCTGTGGGGGTGCGGCCTGAAGCGCCCTCCTCCTCCATATCCTGTTACCTTCCCCTCTTCTCTCTGTTACACTTTGGGTCTACTTCAATATCCTCTTTCTATTTCGGGCGGCCCAGGGCTCGCACCAAGAGGCTCGCTGATAATGCGGAGCAAAGAAATCAGGGTCTGGGGAGGGGTACGGAATTCTATCCCCAGGGGGGGCCACTTCGGGCAAGGCGCTTCCCGCTTGAGGTTTGGGAGAGGAGAAGAGGGAGTCTGGGTCGAGCTCTCCGCTGCACGACCCCCTCCGACCCCTATGAAAGTGGCGGTCGCCCCCTCCCCCGCCCTGCCGCAAGAGAAAGAGAAGGTCAGGTGAAGCAATCGTTCCCTGCAGCCCGGGACAGCCTCTTGGGAGACCTGCCCACTCGGAACCCAGCAATGGGACTCACAGCTGGGTTCTAGTGCCCCCAGCCCAATCCAAGCCCTGAGACCCTGTCGTGGCTAGCCTGTTGGATCCGAAAGCTAGCTACTTCTACAATGAGCACCTCCTCTTTCATTCCGGCCATGTACCCCTTACCAAGAACCCCAGACCCCAAATCTCGAGTCAAAAACCGTCCCCGAGCCAGCACCACGTGCACCCTCGCCGCAGCAGTTCCCAAGTCAAGCACCCCTCACTAGAAGCGCACCCCACGTCACACTGCCCCTCGCCACGAGCTCCTCCCCAGAATTCTGAGGCTCCCTGCCCCTCGCCAGAAGCCCTCCTCCAACCTGACCTAGTCACCTGTACCTCGCCACGCACCCCTCACCTGGAGTCTCCCCTGAAGCCTTCCCTTGGTCACGTGCCCTCTCGCCACGCGCCCCTCACCAGGAGTCCTCAGGCCACGCGCCCCTCGCCAGAACCGCCCCCCCCGCTACGCACCCCTTCCCAGAAGTCCCCAGGTCACGCGCCCCCTCCCCGCGCCCCGCTGCCTTACCTGCTACCGGGGAGGGCTTGCGCAACACCAGCCACCTAGTTTTCCACTGCGGGGGAGATACAAAAGCACATGGTTACGCACTGGGCTGAGCGCAGGGGGCTTCCGTCCCCGTCCCGCCCCCACCCCGGCTGCTCCAGTGGAGAGGGGGAAAGGGTCTAGTGAAGGTAGGGGAAGGTATAAGGCGTGCCCCTCACCTTTTTTCCATCTCTCAATTTGACCTGACCCTCCACCACCACCGAATCCGTCATCTTCAGTCATGGTTCCAAACAGCTGCGCCCTCAGCTCCGGCCTCTCCCTCCTCGAGCTCTCCCCCTCTGGGCGCTCGGGCAGCCAGACCGACTGGGTCACTTTCAAAATAGCTTTATTAGGGCCCTGGACAGGGACAGGGAGGGAGGGAAGGAGCTGACAGAAGAGGGAACTGTTTGACAAGCTAGGGGGAGGGGGGGGCGGGCAAAGAGTGTGAGAGGCCAGAAAGAGCAGGGCTCGTAATTACAATAAGTCACATCTCTCTAGTGCTTCAAGTTTACAAAGAGTTTTTGTCCCAAGAACATGGGGTACAGCTCTTACTATCCCCATTTTACAGATGAGGAACCTGAGGTGGAACAGGCGAATCAACCCAACCCCCACTACCCCCACTACAATCGCAGAGCTGAGAAATGAACACAGTCCAAATCAAGATGCTCTTTCTTTCACACCAGTCTCCCTCTCCATCAACATATGCTGTCCCTCCAGTTAAGGTCTCCCTTTTCTCGTCTTCCTCAACTGCTAACTTGGGAAAATTGGATTGGCCTGAGGGTCTGTAGGCCTGGAAATTCAAAAGATGGTGATGTGCTGAAAAGGTAACAGGAAGGTGCTGGATATGATAGGAGCATATACTATCAGGTGCATATACAAATGCATGCACACGGGAGAACAGCAAGAAGGATTTTTAAGTCAATGAGCATTTATTTAGCACTTAGTATATACAACAAATTGTGCTAAGCAATAAGGCAAATCTGGATCCTTCCCGAAAACAGAGATTCTGGAAAGAACTCAACAGTGGGAAAACAGGGCAGCAGGGGTGGAGGGGGAAGGCAGCTGAAACATAGTGTCATCTGAAGAATAAAGAATGGCTGGTCTGGGCCCATCTCCAAAATGGATGGTTCAATAAAAATTCACTTTGCTCAAACAAAGAAAACTACCTCAGAGACCGTCTAGTGAAACCCATCCATTTTAAAGAGGAGGCAACAGAGACACAGAGAGGTTAAGTGACTTTCTTAGAGGTCACACAGGAGTTAGTGGCAGAGATATAATGTACACCTAAAGCCTCTCACTCCAAAACCCAGTGATCTTTCTATAATATACTACCCCTCCCTGTTCCTCTCTGTTCCTCAATTCCCTTATCTGTAAAATGAGGGGCTTGGAACAGATGACATCTAGAGTTCCTTTCAGTTCTTAGTCTATGATCCTATGAACTCTTGGTATTTGCTCTTCTTACACAAGAAAGATAGCACCAAAATTGTGTGAGGTAGTTGAAAGAATACTGGATTTGGAGTCTGGAGAGAACTGGATTTGAATCTCATCTCTAACCCAGTCTTTGCTGGGGTGACCCTGGACTAATTACTTTTGAGTTTTAATTTACTTGTACCTCCCAGGCATGTTGAGAGAAAAAGTAGTCTATAAACCCTACATTACTATGGAAATTTGAACTATTCATCCTAAAATTATTTTCCTTTGTCTTACAAAAAAAAAAACAGGGACCAGGGGAAAAGATGGCTATGGCAATAGTAGAAAGAGATGGGGGGGTGGGTTTGGGGAAAAGCAAAGTAGGTGTTTGTGAAGGTTTTCAGTCAAAAGGCTATTCATGTTCTTGGCTGTAAGTAAGTGGTCCTGGGGAATCTTTGAGACTAATGTTTGCTCCTGTAAAGATTTCTTTCTGTTTGGCTTTCCTAGCTCCTTCAACAAAATTTTCTTACATAATATTGTGACTGGCTGTCTGCTAATGATTTCACCTGCCCCATAGTTCGTCATCCTTCTGAGGAGACTATGGGCTCTTGACAGACCCATAGAAAGCATAAGTCCCAAGAGATCTACAAAGCCACCAAAAGTCTTTAAGAATGTGCCTTTCAATAAACTCTGTCTGCTGTCCATAGACCAACCTATGTATAGGGAATATTCTCACTAAAGACATCCAAGAATGAATATTTTGGAACCTTCTGCAGCAACACATATGTACAAAAGGATCCATGTGTACCCAAAGAAAAAAAACCCAACTCATAAAAACCATCTACTAAAGCTTGGAGGAGCTGTGATCTGTCACCATGAAAGGAGTATCCTACATAACTTTGTAGGGGTTTTTGGTGAGGAAAGCACTCTGCATCATATTGGTAAAGACTATTAAAAAGGAAGACAATTGTTGGAGAGGAAAGTAGGCACACTAATGCATTGCTGGAGGAGCTGTGAATTGGTCTAGCCATTCTGGAAAGCAATTTTAAACTCTGCCTAAAATGCTACTAAATTGCATATATCCTTTGACCCAACACTATTAGACTTATAACCCAAAGAAATCAAAGAAAGAGGAAAAGGACCCATATGTTCAAAAATATTTGTGACACTTGTTTTTTGTAGTAGCAAAGAACTGGAAGCTAAATAGATGCCCATCCATTGAGGAATAATTAAATTACGGTATATAGATGGAATGGAATGTTACTACACTGTAAGAAATAGCAAAATGAGGCAGCGAGGTGGTGTAGTAGATAGAGCACAGGCCCTGAAGTCAGGAGGACCTGAGTTCAAATGTGGTCTCAGACCAAATACTTGACATGTATTAGCTGTGTGACCCTGGGCAAGTCACTTAACCCCATTTGCCTTAAAAAAATAGCAAAATGGACAATTTTAGAGAAACATAGTAGGACCAATAAGAGGACTCTGTAAAGTGTAAAATGCTATTAAAAAGTTAGCTATGATTACCTCAGAGCTTCAGAGTATACAGGCATGGTCCAACCTATGCATTTCTTATCCAAGATCTAGCCTAAGTGTGGAGAGCCTTATCCCTAAAGGGTTGGCCACTAAGTAACAAAATTATTTTAGCCACAGCAGCTAACAAAGGTGATCCATTAAAGTAGGGGTTCTTATCCTGGGGACCATGAACTTTTTTAAAAATATAATTTAATAACTGTACTCTGTATTTTATTTTATACATTTTAAAAACATGATTCTGAGAAGGGGTCCATAGGCTTCATCAGACACAACCAAAGGACCAGGATGCCAAAAAATAAATAAATAATAATAATAATGAAGACCCTCTGTCCTTAGGTATGAATGGGCAGTGACTAGCTTTGCAGAAGCACTCACACTGAAGAAATCACAAACTATTTTTAAAAGGCACTGAACTAGGCATTGAAGAAGGTAAAAAGAATGAGATGCAGTTCCTGCACTCAGGGAGCTTCCAGCGTCTAGCTGTGCCTCCAGGACCTAGAACAACAGTACCTTGCATATGTATTTCAAAGGATACATGATTTCATTCATGTGGACATTCCTTCCATTGGTACATCCATACCTCATCCAGTTCAGTTCATGGGCCATGTTCTCCAATAGACCCAAGGGTATATCCAGTGTACCTTGGTTTTGTTTTGTTTTTTATAATTTGTGGGTACCTGTGCAGCACACAGGCTGTCCATGTCTTCCTTCAGTCTCAATAAATAACTGGCCCACCTCCTTTTCCTATCCTGATAACCTTCATGCCTCTTCATGTACATATGTAGGTAGTCATTAGAAACATGCAACAGTCTCCTTTCTCTGAACAGTCAATTCATTAGTAGGTACTTAATAATTGTGGATGTCACCCATGGGACTCTGGACCTCACAAGCCTTCAGGGGATTCTCAGCTCACATAAATAGGTTTCAACCCTTGGGGCTCAATCAGAAGGAGTTACTTCTTGCTGGCTTGTGGAATGGCGAGTGTTTAGGTGTCCCCAAATGTGTGAAACAGGGTCCCTAGCTCCAACAAAAGTACTCAATATACAATATTGGTATCAAGTATGAAATGGTTTTTATTTTACCTACCACAGAAAATACATAAGATACAAAGGACTCAGGTGTTTATGAACATACATAAGAAACATAAAACACTTGAATAGCCCATTACACTCATTAGACTCCCTAGGAAGGTAAAGGCTCTTTGTTGGTCTACTGAACAAGCATATTCCATTCACTTTGGCCCTGCACTGTATAACTAACACCAATATCATGGAGGGTTAGCAAAGTCCAGATCTCTTGTCCTGTCATGATATAGCTTTAGGAAAGTTTTAGGACTGTTATCTTCCTTCTCCAAATTGAGTACTACCAAGAAAATTTTCTCCCAGTGCCTGACTCTAGAACTTAGGAACTCTCAAACTCAGTACAACATACTAGGTAAGCTACCAGGCTGGACACATTATTTTTAGAATCACTAGTCTCTGACCTGTACTCAGAAAAAGAAAACCAAAAGAAAGAAAGCAGCCAGGAAGGAGCTGGCCCCTCAGACCCACCTGGACCATTGTCAGACCAAGCCAATTGCCATGAGCTTTTCCTGCAAGTCATCATCTTCTGCTTCTACCTTCCCCCCTGCCTCCTTGTTGCACTCCAGTCTGGAAGTCCAAGAGAGAGAAAATCCATTCCACTAAAGGAAAAGGGCATAAACGGATGGGCCATTTCACAATTCTCTCTTATAGACCAGAGACAGGGCAGATCCTTCAGCCATGTCCAGGGCCTCAATCAGCCCATCATCTTGGAGGCAGCCTCAGTCACTTGAGAACAATAAGAGGGTTCTCCTGTACTGCTCTCCCCACCCCAGCAAAGGACTAGGATGTTAGTCTGCCTCCATGACAGGTACATTCTTCCATCAAAGACCTGTAATTTCATTAAGTTGCCTGGAAACAACTCACTGATTTGATCCCTGGCTTTCCTAACCTATTACACTAAATTGAATTGAATTGATAAAGCAGTATGGTACTCTGGGAAGACCACTTGATCTGGAGTCAAGACATCTTCTTGGCCCTGCTACTTACTACCTCTTTGGCCTTGGGTAACTCAACTTTTCTGGGCCTCAGTTTCCTCATCTATAAAATGAAAGAATTGATCAAGATGGTTGTTAAGCTCCTTCCCAGCTCTAATTTCTAGGATCTTATGAATTAAATTGAATATGGGCTGTCCCTCGGTCGTAGAGATCCTTGAATGTCCCCTTAAGGCATTTAAACTTTATCACATGAAAGAACGGATATTAAGGGCTTTGCAGACTATAAAGCAGAATGTAAATGTCAAATATTACCATCATTATTTATCTTTTCATTTCAATGGATTTCTCTGCTCCACTGATGCCTGTACCCAGTTCAGCACACAGTGAGATTAAGAATAGTCAGTCAGACTGGCACCCAC